ACACAAATTTATAATTATTTCATAATCACAAAAAATAATTAAATTTACAATTCGAATGTTACATATATTTAATACAAATTTACGAGTCACCATTAAATTCGAACAAATCACAAGCTAGCTTCTTTCTCCAGTTCTGTATCCACGATTAGTTGATTCCATCGACCTTATGTTCTATACTTAAAAATTCAACGTACTAAAGGTAAATATGCCGCAGGCGCCGCTACAATTGAACAAGAATGAATCAGTTCAATACTGTGTAACTAAAAACTAAATCTGAAAGATGAAAAAAAAAAGTTCAAACACTTACCTTATGGATTGTCGAGCTGTTGTTGTATTCTGAACAATCTGCAATCTGTCATGTACAGTCATCCCCGCTCGTCTGGCTATCATAGGAACAATTACAGCTATGGACTCCAGGTTTTGCTCCAGCTGGTCTTGTGTCAAATATGAATGATTTGGGTCGTACACATATATAGTCGTGTCAACAAAAACGATCTCCAGCGTAACATAGTGCTTATTGATGCACGCTGAAATGTACATATGTGTACAACCCTCACATGATTTTTCCCCGACACTCAGCGACATTCATATGATCCACTCGAGCATATATTCTAGCACCGTGTACTCGTTACCCATAAGTTGGAGCGAATGATACTCTATGGTAACGGCACGCAGGAACTCGATGTTTAATATGACTCGACCATGGACGTCAAATGATTTTGGATGTCTTTGAGCTCGATCTCACAGCAAGTCTATGGCCAGGTCGATGTGCTGCACTAGGAAACACCAAAAAAGTATGAGTTATTCATTTAATAAACACAAAGTGACGTATACATAAAAAACACGAAATGAATAGTTCACTTACATCGCCAGCGAGCCAAACTCCTGAAGTGGTGATATCGTGGAACCACTTATAAGGGTCTGAGACCGTCCGGTTACCTATAGTGTGGCTAACTCTAAAAAAATAGGAAAATGTTAAAATAAGCATAAACGAGTTAGCATACAGTGCTTTATTAAAATCATACAATGCTTATCCGGGGATAATTCTCCTCCACTTCGTCTCGAACGCTTTCCACTTGGCGTTGTCCACCTCCCTGAATAAGTTCGGGTGCATCCCATCAATGAACGTCGCCCGTAATACTCAGTCTAGTGATCAAGCTAAACTCATACATCGAGAAACTGATGACCTTGCCCCCGAGGTCGAAGTGGAGGGAATCGTCGTCGACTGGCCTCAGAAGCCGACATAGAAGTGCCGTGACGATCTATCCTGAATACTGTACATTTCGCATCTGGTACAGTAGCCATAAGAAGGACTATCGTAGCATATCTCTGTGATGATCATCGAGCAGCTCCAACACAGTAGTAAATCTCTCAAAGCTACTGTTCCAAGTAACTTTCCCTGCCATCCGTCTCAACTCTTCATCTAAATGATACTCCATCCTGCAAAAATTCAAATGTTAGAATATTGAACAATAGATAATAAAATAACGCATAATCTCAAAAAATCAAGGCAACCAAATTCTAACTACCATACAATACGCAAGACATTGACGCTAGTAACAAAATAAATTTAATACAAATTTAAAAATTAAAATAAATTAGTTATAAAGAAAATTAATCTTGTATATTACATTTGGAAAATATATTTACAAAAAAAATTTCAAATTAAATACATTTTTAAAAAAATTAAAGAATATAAATATTATTTAAATAAATTAGAAAAAAATCAAAGATTATTTCATAAAAGAAAAATAAAATGAACAGAATAAATTTTTAATTTCGGACAACATTATCTATTCAATTATTAAATTATATAAAAAAAGGCAATTATAAAAATTAAATAACATAAATATTATTTAATCAAATTAATTATAAAGAAAATTAATCTTGTAATCGTTTGAAAAATATATTTACAAACAAAAAATTTCAAATTAAATGCATTTTTAAAAAATTTAAAGAATATTTATATATTTAAATAAATTTTAAAAAAATTAAAAAAATTATTTCATAAAAAAAGGAACAAAATAAATTGTTAAATTTAGATAATATTCAATTATTAAATTATATAAATAAAAGACAATTAGAAAAATTAAATAAATAACATAATTACTATTTAATCAAATAAAAAAATAAATTAATTATAAAAATTGATAATAAAACAAATAAAAATTAATATATATATATATATATATATATATATAATTTTTTTTTTTGACAAAATTGTAGACTGTTAACAGTCGGTCCATTGATGTTTAACAGTCAGCTCATGACTGTTAACTGTCTGGACCGACTGTTAACAGTCAGTTAATAGTCTGTCCATGACTGGTAACAGTTAATGGGTCGACTGTTAACAGTCGGATCGACCCGACTGTTAATAGTCACCGTCTTTTTTACTATCCCTCTCGTCAGAAATTGTTATTATCGACGATGGAGAGCTATCAAAATTATAAAAAAATTCACATTTTCACCTCAGCATGACCCACAATCTAACTACTCATGCATCTTCATCTAATTAAACCGAATAAACGTAAAATAATTCAATTAATGAAAATTGGAACAAAAATACAACTTCCTGTGAGAAAACTAACCGGAATAGTTCGCCCGATGGTAGATACGTGCTTCTGGTCGTCAATTGAAATCACTATGATGTTGGTGGTTTAGGTCGGTGGTTGATCGGTCAATTTTTCTGGCAACTGTGACGCCGATTTTTTTTGGGTTTGTCGATTAGAAAGGAAACTTTCAAACAGTCTGTAACCTTAAAGGGTAAAATCGCCCTTTTAGTGTAAAGTTATATTTTAACTTAATTTTTTTTAATTCATTTAATGGGTCAAAGGCTAATGTTAAAATTTGCTACAGTCAAGAGTCATTTCCGTGTATTTCCTCAGAAATGAAGTAGGTTGGTGAAATAGTTACTAACATTAATTGTATTTAGCATTCTTGCAGCAAGATTCTTTCTTTTTTGGCATTTATCTTTTGCATGTAAGGTTCTTTGCTTTTTCTTTTTCTTTTGTTGTGCTCTACAACATTTTGTCGTCCAAATTATTATCTTCTTTGACTAATTGTATATTATGGACCATGTCCATTGTCTCTCTCTTCCACTTCCAAGAAACAATCTCCATACACTTCCAAATACACATCTTCATTTGGTGTCTGACGAAATTCAAATTATAAGTCTAATCTCTTCATATCATTTGCTTTCTAAATAATCTTAAGATTCCATCTTTACTATAGCAAAATTATATTTTACTTACATTCCCACAATTTTAAATCTAATTTTTACTAACTGCTAGAGAAGATTCATGACAAAAAATTTAATTCAAACTTCAAAAGCATGTTAGGATTATACCAAGAAAATTAAATTCTCTACATCACGCTAATAAAGACACATCAAATACAATAATCGTGCAATGCACATAGCATCGACTAGTATTTGTATTTTAATCGTAAACAATACGGTACTAGTATGTAACTAGAAATAACTTTTAGGTATCCTAAGTTTTATCCCGACTTTTTCAAAATATCCTAAATTTCAGGGTATTTGTGTAACTGGTCGGAGTTCAACATACATTACACATTATTCTGAAATATTTTATAAGTGCTGTAAAAGTAATATTTGATATCAATTTGTTCGGAGGATTTGATGAGTCTCAAATAAAAACTAAAAAAATAAAATTTAGGATAGAAGTTTAAGATAAGAATATTGTACTCTCAAAACTCAATTTCTATGATTCAATTTTTTTTGTGACGATGAAATACTACAATTCAACAAGCTTTTTATACTATATTTGGTACATAGATACATGAATAGAAATAAATTCATCTATAATAATTCTATATATTCATGTAAATCAATATTCACTAAGTCAATATTCATTGAGTTTAAATTAATGTAAATGTTAATTAATTGAGAAGTAATAATATGAAATTATTTTGTAGTGTTTACTATTAATTGATAAAAGAAAAGTAAGGTATTATTGAAATAATTTAATGTAGTAGGATTAAAATCGTTCAAAAAATTATTCTTACTTGACGTGATATTTAATATATTATAGATTACTCCTATTTTTCAAAAGGCTTATGGGCCAAGCCCCTGAAAATAAGCCGACCCGACGGCCGTATGAATCAGCCAAGTTGTCAAAGTTCTTGCATATTAATTCTATAATCTCACAATAGCAGTCAGAAAAAAGCATGCTGTGATTCAATCTCTAATTGAGTAGTTATTGGTAGATTTAAACTTCACTAGCTATATATGCTGGCAGCATTTATGGATATACCATTTCATAAATTTTAGAATTACTGTTGAAATAGGTCCAAAATTGCTGAGTTCATGTTTCGCGCAAGAATTATATTACAATATATGAAAATGGATCGCTTTGCAAGGGCTATTAACTTTGTTGATGATACAATTATCTTTGAAGCCTAAACTGACTTAGATAAAAGTTTCAGGCACACATTCACTACCAAATTAGATTTTATTTCACAATGACTACTCAAGGATGGCAACGGACAGAGTTGAGCTGGCTCGGGCTCATGGAAAACAAGCTAACTCAAGCTCGGTTCGGCCCATGAGCTCGTAAACTCAAGAGCCACGAGCCGCTCGCGAGCTTGTGATTTTTTTAATTTTTTTTGTAAATTTGCACATTTTTGACAAGCCCATGAACTCGTGAACTTTGGCTCGTGATGAGGAGCCCAAGCCGCTCGACCCGTTTGACATCTCTATGGCTACCCAATTTCTTCTTACCTTCTTCAATAATTTAAAAAGGGGTAAAATGTTAACTTTGCATTATATATATAAAATAAATTTAACAAAAATAAAAATAAAATTTTTTCGGTTCCCCATGAACACCCAAAAAATAAATAAATGCTGCCAGCATAAGCTTAGGATAAATTGGAAATAAAAGAATATTTGGTGTAAGTCAACGTGAATTTCACGTGCATTTGAAGACTTTTCAAAAAAGGAGTCCCATACATACATGCCTTATCCATTCCTTTACACAAATTGTTTTCCAATAGAGATATTTTCTTCTCCAAATGAAGTCAAATGCACTTTTCCTGTTCCCAAATCATTCATTTCCTATGATTCATCCACTTCGAAAATTTCCATACCCTAACCCTTTCTCATTTCCTCCATGGCTGCTCTATCAATAGGCCATTTATGTCCAATTCTAGATCATCAGCTCAATGCCATAAAAAATTCAAGAAAGTTCATCTCAGCTTGTAGCAAAAACCGCGATCCGTCTAACGCGAAAACGAAGAAGGGAAGTGCTGAAAAGAACAAGGGAATAGTGCAGCACATGGAGAAACTTGGAGGGGTGATGATGGATAATTTGAGTCCAAAGCAGAAGGGTGATTGGAAAGACATAACTCTAATGAGCCTCTCATTTGCTGTATATATCTATATGTCACAGAAGATTGTCTGTGCTTACTGTGCATGGATGTCTATTCTCAGATAGTAATAATTTTCCTTCTTTTTTATTCCAATTCTTGTATGAATTGAGATGAGGAATTATGGGTTCTCATCTTTTTATTGTATGTCTTATTTTTATTTTTTTAAGTTGCTGTTATTTGGGTAGCGTCCTCAGTTATGCTGTATGATCCTGCCAGTTTGTAAGTTTATTGTCCATTTATACTGTCTAGTTGTGTACAAGCCTTTTTTCATGGTTTTCACCTTGTCCGATTGAATCATTGAACAGAACAGCAACAATAGAATAGACAGGCTTGATCTCCTGCTGCCAGTGGACTGTATAAAAATTTTCCACTTTTGCTGGCGTAGGAGCCAACGGATCAATTTCGATAGAACAGAAGCATATAGATATTTATATGTTAAATAGCAATTCAGATTGGCCTTTCTAAGCTGAAAACAAAGAGTGCTCTTTGTTGAAGTTTCCTTTCACCATTTAATTTATTAGCCAAAACTGCATTTTCGATGTTCAATCATATAATTTATCTGGTAGCCTCATTTGTACATCTATACATTCAAAAACATGAAAGATACCAAGTCCTCCTCCTAACTGCAACTATCAAGAGTGCAGAACCACCAGGCCTTAAGGGGACACCATGAATGCTTTATAGTACGGCCGCCAAAAAAATTGATGAACACAAATGACTCCAATGAATAACCTGAAACTGCCTATTGAGGTTAAAATTTTGAAAAATAAAAAATTTACCGCCAAGCTTACATCATAATTGCAACTAAATAATATCAACTCCCAGCTGCCTTCAAAAAGTTTTCATATGGACTTGAAGTTGGCAAGAGGAAGAAATGGGGCTGATGCTGAAATTCGGATGGACGTGTCATTGGAATGGTTCCAGTAGATGGTGTCTGCAAAATATATTCAGAAAAAACGTTAAAATCCCCAGGAACTGCTGCACAAAATTATGGATGAATGTTATGTATTTGACAATTTTAACTCATGGTAAAATATTACTTTCTCAACATAACAAACTCGGAGAGTAGGAACGTATAATTCGGTAAATAGTCTACTTTTCAGATATAACTCACCATAAAAAATTCGGATTTATAAAATGGATTGTTAAGAGCCTGAGCGTCATCCTGGCAGGATAAGCTGGCTGGATTCTCTTGCATCAGTTGTGAACTCATGAAATTTGACATTACTTGCTGCTTTTCGATCTGAAGAGCCTCACAGTGGCTTGCCATATCTTTATATGCCATGTGAGAGGGGTCTGAGACAGAAAACCGTCCAACCTGCTTTGTTGACTCCGACACCTGCAACAACATCAACTTAACTTTAGGAAACACATTCAGGACAAATGATGCGATGCTATTAAAATGTATCCAAATTTCTGAGCTCCAGAAAACTTTTAAAACCCAATTGAAAGGTTGGTGTCATAGACATATATTGTCAATCTTTAGTAAGTTGTAATGATTAAGGTTTGCTGTCATCTATTTTATCCAAGCAGTATTGCAAGAATAAGAGGGTCAGTTCATCCAGCTCATAATTCTCAATTCTTCATACGGTTCTCAAAATCCATTACGAACAAAGTAGTCTTCTAACACCTTTATATAGCATTGACTAAATATCGAAGTTCTTTAATGCTTCCCATAGTCGACCTTTTGATTTGAATTTCCAAGTCAAAAATATAGTTTCCATATTGACTCAACATTCTCAACAAATGTAGTAGTAATATGGAACTTGAAGCATAATGAAGTAGACTCTTTCTGAGAAGTGAAATAAGTGAAATCACTTCATTTGCATAACCAAAAAGTAGTTGTATGAAACCATTATTGTGCTATTTTCTGGATTAGACTAATCAACTTAATGTCAAAAGTAGAAGTAATTAGTAACAGAAACCGAGGATCACCAAATTTTTAACTAAATAACACACTTTTTGAAACATGCCCAACAAAATCAATTTGGGAAAGAGAATAAATGACTTAAGAAAATGAATCTGATCCGGAGTTGGCCAGACTTCTAAAACAATCTTCCTTACGTATGTGTCACAGATAGAAAACAAGCTTCCTTCCTTAAGTATATATCACAGATAGAAAAACAAAAGAGAGAAAATTTAACTCTAGATGTATCAGCACTCTAGGAAACTATCGACATATAAACAGCTGCAAGCTAATGGAAAAAATTGCTTTCAGATAAGCTGGCAAAACTTATATAATCAATGATTTTTTAGTTCTTCGTATAGGGGGACATTGGAGATTTGATTCTATAATAATTTCACCAGCAAATTTTTTGAGAAAAAAAGTAGGTATAGTAGCTTCTTTAGGAAATGTTTATTCAATTTGTTATCGCTGATATGTAGCAGGGGAAAACCAGATACATAGCACAACTCTGAAGTCCAATACTTAATGTCCCAATTGAAACTAAAGGTATTGTAAAGATTCTTCCAGTTTGTTCAAGTCTGCATGAACTTATTACTGTAAACTTGCATAAATTATAATCTAACAATAAAAGATCTGCCAAAAAATATAGAATGGCTCAACTGTCATGCTTAGCGAGGGTTGAATATGTTCATTCCATCAACTCAAACTTAGAATCTATGCTCATACGCCCTAAAAAAGTAATTTCTTGTGATTGAGCATAATGCCCAAAGTTAATTAATAAAAACCTAAAAGTAGATTATTTTTTCATGGAAATAAAGTTTTACTCTTTGTTGTAGTTGTTGACTGACCATATTCTCCAATAAGCTAAGGCAAAAATCTAGAAGCAAATCACAGCTTCCATCTATCAGTCTCAAAATTTTGTTTCATTTTAGTCCTTATCTAACACAGTTACTTTTATTGGGGGCACTTTCTCTAAATAATAGTGCTTAAATGCCTATAACCTATATTGGTATATTTATTGTGCTTGTCATTCTCTGATGCAAGGATTTCTAGATATCTTCATATCTCCTACTAAAAGCATCCTATGTCTTTTACGTAATAAATAAGAAAAAATTTTGAAGACACAAAATATTGGAAAGAGAAGGTTATGGCTCCATTTTCTCATAATGAAAACTAATACAAGAGGAAGAACTGTAACTTGGCTGATTTTTCCCCACAAAGATTTCGGCTGCATAGTATCAAGATTAACTATAAAGAGACAACGAAATAATAAACCAATGGAAATGCCAACATACCAAATCCATAAATTGATCTACACTCAGGAGACAGGGACTTTCTATTGTCAGCTGGGAGCAGTGATCTGTCCGATTTACCAATAAATCCGTTGGACAGTCATCATCTATTGTAAACATTGGATACTCGGCCTGCTGATTTACAGTATAAGTAAATAACTATGGTATCTAAAAGGATAAAAGTGAACTGTAATCTCTGAATGTTGAGTACCTTCTCAGAATGTTCATTTTCGTTCATATCTAATTGGTAGATTTGCCCAGGGGTTTCTGTAACTAGCTGAGCTCCCAATGGACAAATATCATCAGGAAGAAAATCTTTAAGCAGTTGCTCCTTTATATTTGTTGATTCAGTCTGCGTATAGAACTCAAAAGTTGAATGGAGTACCATAATATAGGATAAAAATGGTGTAGAGCATATAAGCCGGTGAAAAAATTGTACATTGGATAGCTTCTCCAAATTCTTCACGATCTTGGAAGCAAAAGATTCTGTAGATTGATCCTCGCTAATTTTAATTACCGAAAGAGAATTTAGGGCATTTTCGTCATCCTCTTTTGATCCATAAGTATTCATCTTCGGATCTACTAATTTAGCCTGCAACTTGCTATCATCTACCAGCTGGAGAAAAGGATCAACCTGTTGAAGCATTCTCTAGGTTAGGCGAGCTTTTTGCTCCTGGTAAACCAGTCACTGGTTAAACATAATATTATCTATGCTTAAAATTTCTTGAACCACTGTGCATCTAGTGAACAAGCCTGTGCTAAGCACAGTTCACAAACTAATGCTGCTACACATACTGTTTTCTCTGTCAACACAGCCTTTGCAGAAGTGAGAAGAGGGATAAAGTTGTAGGCTTTCGATATGAAAAGTATCATCGATGTTGCCAAGGTGAAAAGAGATCTGCGGCGAGATGGCTGAAGTTGTCCTGCGTGCATGAGAAATAAGATTGATTTAGGGAACTCAACGTTTGGTAAAGAAGCATTAAGTTACTAAAAGAAGGAACATCAATGTTTTGCTAGATTTTGTACAAAACTATAGGAGTTATCTATAAGTTCAGAAAAGAGGTGTGCCAGAGTGAGTAATTCCCTGACAAAAGGAAAATTTGAGGTCCTTCATTTATCATACAAAAGGATGTGAGGTTCTCCTTAGCCAAGCTAAGTCTAACATAGTAATTGCGGCTATTCATATGATGAGTAGAAAACCATTTAAACTGCAAACTCAATGTTTATTAAACACGAACAATTTTAACGAGTGATAATTTGGAGCGGGAAGATGCCACCACCAAGTAATATGTAACTTTCGAGTTCATGGGGAAGCCCCCGGGGGGGGGGGGGGGGGGATAAGGTAAGATGAGGGTTCATTTGGAATGACAGATGGTAAAATGGATGTAAATTTTTAGCCTCAATTCATAACTTCTGCAACTGCTGGACCAAATAGCATACTAGTCACAATTTGTATGTAGTTAATGAAAAAAAGGGAGTCAATAAACAATTTTTTCATACTTCATCGTTTTCCCAACGAGAATAAATGCATTCATTTAGATAAAACAGAAACAGAACAAACTAAAATTCAAATGAAACTAAAAGAACCTACCTCCTCGAAGAGATATGCTCCTTAAGGAAAATGCTAGCTGAAAACTTCGAATAAGAATATAGTTACTGGATTTCTACATGAAAACATTGGAGGGCAGCATTACAAGGTAGGCTGAGAAAATCACAAACAAGATTGTGATTCATGATGTTAAACTGATGCATGTTCATGAGCGCTGGAAAGTAATGTACATGATAAAGGACCAACTTTCACAGGAGCAAAGATAAGAGCATATATATAAAGGCGAATTCGATAGATAAACAGAGAGAAATCAACACAAGATTTCAGAGTCTGCCAAGTGAGATTCAGAAAGCAAAAAAGGATATGGGATAGCATGAAACAATTACAGACTTCTCTTTTGACCTCATGTATACAAAAATAGCTTTCTTAGAACAATATCTTCGCGTGCTGGTTGTATCAAAGGAGAAAAGAAGAAACTCCATAGTTGGGAACCCCCCAATCTTTCATGTTATATCCATACTTTTGATGTTATAAAATAGGCTCAAGAATCATCAAGTTATAAAATAGGCTCAGGCAGCTTTCTACTCATATCAACTGCATATACCATACTTTTGATGATTCCACATGAATCAATTGCCCTTCTCATCTCTATCCTGTTCAACTGTCCCTCACTTCCATAACCAATATTCTTGTGGCGTAGTTAAATATTTCATAATCAGTAGAGTTCGATAAATCTCCAAGATCCACTTTAAACCTTATTACTAATTTGTTAACATAATTCTTCCATCTTTGTGTGGTCTCATTTTTAAGGAAATTACTGTTCCTCCGGGAAATTCTGAGCATAAAGATCTTTTTTCTACCCCCTTATTTTATTCCTTCTATTTATTTATCTACAGCTATGGTCTGCCAAGCTCCCACCTAAGCAGCAGCGCATTTATTAAAAAAAAAAAAAAAAATCCCTCTTGATTCTCATCCTTGATATAGTTAACTTGTTTTAAATTCCTACTTCTCTTTTCCCTTCGTTGATATATCTAATAAACAATTCTCTCTAGACCACTGCTTTGGGATATTTAAATGACTATCCATATATTTCCACTCATGGATCTGAAATTGCTCTCTTGCCTTCCCATTTGGTTAACTTATACATCTCCACAGCCTCATTTTCATATTCTGATAAGTTCATAGGAATTATCTTTCAGTCTTATCCAAGATGGAACTGTGCAAACACCAATTTCTTATTTAAGTGCATTTCTGCTCTTGAACTCTTGATGGGAAATGAAGATATGAATAAAGATAGGATTTTAAAGTAGAGCTTGATTTAAATTATATTTGTTTAGATTGCTTAGTTTTAATATTTTGATAAGATTCTAGATTATTAGAAATTATTTGGATTTTAGTTTCTTTTTCCTATTTACTGGGGGCTTATTCATTGTAATGTGTAGACTTTGATAAATTGAATAAAGATATTTCCTCTCTCCTGAAGTCTTCCTTCTCTTCTCTTTCTACTCTTTCCTCACTTTCTTTCTCAATCTTGTTTTTTGCTCATTACAATCTTACGTCAACTCTCCTGGTCTCATTTGCTACATTTCAAATGCACTTGGTCGTCTCATTCTAAACCAAGTCACCACTATGTATTTATCCCAAATACTTCCTTCAAACCTGTGTTCTTAGAAGTTATTTGTAGTTCAATATGTAGGTTCTACCTCTTGTTGTATCAACTCAAACCCCTTTGGTACCTTTTCTGAATCTATTCGAATATCTATTAAAGAATTATCACCACGTATAAAAGTCACAATAAATATCGAATTACAATCAACCCATTTATGAGAAACCAAGAAAGCAGTAGCAAAAGAGGCTAGATTGAGGGCTACTCCCATCTCTAAGTATAAAGCAGTAAGAATGACAATTTCTCAAAACAACGCAACAATATCAAGCACCATTAACCTATATTAAGCAGCTCGACTATTATTTGGTCCATGAAGTTATTAAACTCTCTTTTTATGTATTTAAGGGTACCAAATCAAAAGAAATCCCAAATTTCCTGTTGAAAATAATATTTAAATGAAATATATGTAGACTCAATAACATGGTGTCACAGTAGGCGATGATCTTGAGTACAAGTCTTTCTGCCACTCTTTTAATGAATTGTGCACATGTTAGGCTTTATTGGGGAAAAAAAAATAAAGCATGCCTACATGTGAGTGGACATTTTGAAGATAATTTTTAAATAATATACATATGCCTTATAAAACAGCTCAACCATTAAGATCAAGTGTTTCAGCAATACAAATCATGTTGCCTTTTTCATTCTCATCTCCAAAGCCAAAATTTTCATCTACTTTGCGATTCTTCTTGGGAATGGAAAATCTAATTCAAGTCCTACTGTTACAACTACAAGGAAGACTTCCAAAATTAGGATCTGAATGACAGGAAAATATGAACGGATGAAGTCAAACTATGTTCTTTGTATAAATATTTATAAGCCAACTATTCAAGCCTGCTAACTAGGTACAAAGATATGTTGCATCCGAAGCTTTTCCAACAATCTGTGAAAGTTATACTTTTGTTAGCACTAACGCAGGTTGTTTTGAGGATGATAAATATGCATACTCGATGGTGGAGCCGCGGGGGGTTGGCGACTGCCCCTGCAACATTTTGAAATTTCTGTAAAATCAATGTAGAATTTTTTTTTTTTTTCTTTTATACGTAATACAACTGTACTTTTGCCTCTTTCAAATTTTTTTCGCCCCCTATTGAAAATTTTCAGGCCCTGACACTGAGCATTCTATACAACTGCAGGAAAATACATATCAAACTGTGTAACATGGGAAATAAAATGAAAAAGAAAGAAAGAAGCTGAAACTCTTTAAAGTTCTCTAAATACATGTGTGTGTCATATTGTCATGCTTCCACCACGGGTGCACTAATATAAGTGCCTGATTATGCATTTTTTTCCCTTTCTTTAGCATCTAACCTTTCTCAAAAGTGTTCCTTTAGAAAAAAATTTCGTGTTTCCTCATTTAAGAGACATTAGATGTCTTTGACAATTCAATAAGAGTAAACTATATATTCTTAGTGAACTTAAATGTGGAGAACCCCTTAGAAGTATTAGCTAACTGGGAAGTCAATACGTTGATCCCAGATCATGGCTTGAAGAGAACTTGTCATAGGACAAGAATACAAAGAAAGATATTTCAGCAAAACGAAGAAGGGAAGAAAACATTAAACCAAGTTAAGTGCATCAAAGATAAAACCAAAGAGCTTGTTTATCGAGGGTCACAGAAAGATGGAGAAATTATTATGACAATCTATTTAGTGTAAGGAATAATGTGGATACTAGAGATTTGACAGACTACATCATGGATAGGAATGTTAAATATACTAGAAGAATGCGTGGCCTCAAAAGTGAAAGGATATGAAGAGGATGGAGTCGAAAAGAGTAAATGGTCCGGATAGAACTTGTACCAAATAATATAAGCGTCTAAATGATACCAGTATTTTGTGCAGGACACAATAATCCTATGAAATATTAAAAACTTAAGGATGCGAGGTGAATGGAGAAAAGTGTCCTGGTGCCTATTCATAAGAATAAATAACAAGTTATTAAGATCACAAGTCAACAATAAAATTATTTGAGAGATTGGTAGTACATAGATTAAGGTTTAGTTTAAAGATCTCACGGAAGGGGTTCGATTTTATGTTAAAAGGATCTACTTTCAAGTTCATTTACCTGCTTAGGATATTGATGGAGAAGTTGAAAGAAAAGAAACAAGATTTTCAAATGATTTTGATTGATTCCAAGAAAGCTTACAATCTGTTATCCACGAAAAGTAATATACTGAGTGTTAGAGAGAAATATTTTAGTTAGATATATCAATATGATTGATCATATGTAGGATAGACAAGTGACAAATGTGAAATATAGTAACGGTAGTAGTGGAGAATTTATTTCCTTGTAGGCTGCTTCATAAGGTTCTTGAGTCCTTTTCTTTTCGCTTTATGCATGAAGCTTAGAGACTCGTCAACAATTAGGTTTCCTCAGGTATGTTCATCGGTGATATAGTTTTTGTGGATGAGAACATGAGTTGGTTAAATTGTAATCTAACAGAGATTGATCGAGGTGTTATAATCAGAAACACACTGAAAGATAGAAGAACAAGATTTGATAATATTTCCTGAGTCTTAGAGAACGGGTAAGATAATATACAGTGGTCACTACAGAATGGAAAGTGCACTTGCAATGCATAGAAATATCTGGGGCGAGAAAATTACCTTGTTTCTTGAAAATAATATCACCAAGCTGTACGTGTTTGCAAGTGCTTCATAGTTCCCAGGAGTGTTCAAATTAGAGACTGCCTGCACCCAGATGGAGGACAACAAGAGGCTGATCTGTCGGCTTTTCAACTTAAGAGAGATCCCCTTCTGTATTGTAAGGGGGTATTGTCAAAAAGTGTAGCAACCATATAGCATTTATGGTTTTAAAAGAAATACTCGAAGTGTCTAAGGTTCAAGTACCGGTTCCTTCTCTAAATTACCCGTGGATACAGGCATTGAACATCTCCTCGTGCTAGTATTTTGACTATAACTGGATGTCAGCCGTTTCAGAATGGGTGGACCGTTGAGCATTACTTCGCCATTATTTAAAACTACAAATGTTTGATCTGGAAATTTTTGGGAGTATTGTTGTTCTTTCCTCATCTTCTCGAACAAAGCAGCTGAAGAAGAAAACACAGAAACAGTTCTAGACAGCGTCCTCTGTAAATCATCAGGTTTAGTTGAGGAGCTCGTAGAGCTACTAGGAGGGCTAACAGATGATGGAACGAGCACAACCGAAAATACACGATGTGCCCCAAGCCTTGTCTCATGGTCTGGAGAGACCATGGCGACCAGTATTTGATGGAACAAAGCCTCAGGGAAAGCCTAAGTCAGACAGAGACAAATAGATGGTGTTCAATAATTTCAATCATAGACAGTCAGGCATACTACGTGAGATAGAAACAGCCTTGCCTTATTTTGATACAATATATTTGGCAAGAATGCCACAATCTGAGCAATGCGATAGACAGCACTAATTGTGTTTCTAGCCATAACTGATATATTTGAAATGCTCTCTAACATCACAGACATCACGTCAAGAATTGGGCCAGCATCTCCAACCTGGCTTGAAGAGGAATTCAATTTTAGATTCACTCATATCTTATATTACACAGGAATTTCTTTGTTGGCCTTGCATTGAGATGGGGGCCTTTCTAATACGAAAATAGCTAAAGCTCAGCTTATTATCACTGATAATATTATCTTCAACATATTGACGACTGCATCAAGTTGTCATAATTTGCACTTTATTTACCACACTGCCAAAGTAATTACTGTAAGGTAATTGTGAAAAAGTAACCTTGTAAGACAGTTGAACAAGACACTCATCAACAGCTGCGTGAAACTTCCTGTTCCACTGAATTAGTTCTTCCCCGAGTTCTGTGTCATCAAGAGAGCAGTGTATGCTTTTCCTCAAATGTCTCATCATATCACTAAATGCACCAACAATTGTCACAGATGGTTGGACCTTCGTCGCTTGCGCCAGGGTGGTAGCAACTTGAACAATATCTACCTGCATGCTGGGGCTTTTCAAGACATTCTTATGATCAAGATGCTTGATTACAGTAGATAGCAAGAAATGAGTGTTATGTCCTGAAAGTCAAATTAACAGTTCGATGGATATTAAAAAAATTGAAGTTGATGATAAAAAGGCTGCTTAATTCCTAAGAAGCTCATTCATAAACATGTAGAAATTTGAAAAGTTGAAGACCAGAGTTCTCCATTATTGATTGCATGTCCATCAAAACAGCAAGGGCCAGCCCCTCATCAGGTGACCAGAGATTGCCCTGATCGAAGTAACGGAATAAGGCTTCAAGAACACGACGTATAGTTGTAGCCTCCCTGGCCAACTTTGCCATGTTATTCAAGCATACACTTGCCCAGAATCTAGGACTTCCTGTATCTTCCCTGTTTACCAGAACAGAATCCATGTTAGATATACCAAATCCACAGCACAGAATACAAACATGACTCCAGTTGTGAACACCTTGGGAAGAGAAATTACATTGTAACATAGCCTCTCTCATTTACTATCTTTCTCCAAGAAATGGCCCTATTCATGGCACCCGGTGGAGAATTTTGATTTTCAACTCTATGTACCTCTTCTTGATTACCGTTTGTAAGATAATTGGACTCCTTGTCTGGGCAGTGACAATTTTCCAGGACTGCAGAAACAACCTGATTTTTGTAAAAATAAGAAAAAGGTGATTACTTAACAAGTAACAAACATGACATCTTCGGTAGTGGTTAAAAATTGCTGAGGAAATTTCTGTGTAAGAGAAATTATATTACTGACTTGCATTTTAGCAGACTTTTCTTGATGATACAAAGAATTCATTAAAGAAAGGGGAGAATGCATGTAGACTTTAAGTATACATGCCAGCTTGAAGGGGGGAGAGAGAAAAAAAGACGCAACGAAGAAGCAATAAGTCTCCTGAGGGAAGCTTGGCTTTATCATTTTTCATCAAGAGAAACAAAAAGCAAAGGAGAGAAGTGGACCCACATCAAGAGAAAAGCACGAAAGATAAGGAAAGAGGGGATCCAGTTAAGCCTCTAAACCTTTATTATTTTCTTCATCTGCAGAGGGAATGATAATAGGACAAGGAAAAATGAATAAAAAGAGAGCAGAAATAATAAAAAACAAAGAAGCTGTCATCCAAGCTGGAATTTATGTACCCTTTCATGACCAGCATATATTCATTCGAGACTATCATCATTCAGAATATTCACCATGAATTCATAAAAGTCAAGATGCTTAGAACGGTCTAAAACATCAAGAATAAAAGTAAAGTAGCTTCAAGCTTGAAAATAAATTTGTGAAGCCTTGAAAGTTATCTTAATTTGCTCTTTCCACTGAGTAACATGAAGGCAAAAGGAGCTGGTAATAACTGTTAAATGTATAAGATCATAGCCAACCATAACATTTAAAAGAAAAGATGCCTGGTACCAAGGAACACCTACAAGTTCCATTTGATGCAATTATCGTCATGTGAATTACTAATTGAATATATGCTCAAAAGAAAGAATTAGTTGCACGACAGCTGATAAAATCTAGATGTTTAACATATTCCAAGGATGTGCCTCAGTTTAGGTAATCGTGAACATACAAATAACCCTGAAGTAACTTACATTGTCGAAGTCCGCTGAGATGTGAAAAAATTCACCCATGAACCATATCTGTCCATCAAAATTTTTAGGACAAGTTGTCTCAGAGTCCATATTATATAAATTCAATTTCAACAAAAAAAAAAATGGTTTATAGAAAAATTGTCAACTATTCAAACTACAAGTCAAGAAGTAGAAACATGCACGGCATTCTTGAACTGCATATCTCAAGAACATTCTAAATGACACACAATGAAATTTGAAACTAGTGAAGGTATAGAAAAGCTCATTGCTTCAACATACAAACCAAATGAATGAATGATGTACCATCAAGTGACAACGGTCCCCAATAAAGCTCAAACGAGCAATATATAAGCTAAAAATTATTTTCGTTTATTTGTTGAGAAGTTACATGTTTGTCACACATAAATATGTAAAAACTTAAATTATTCAAGAAGGAAGGTAACTGACAAAATTCTCCACCGATAAGATATTGACCAAATGAGTTTCAGGGATAAGATCTGTGAGGATACCTCCTCAGTTTCATATCAGAAATCTGAAAGCTACTATATAATCAGTTAAAAGGTAATATTTAGAATAGCATAAAAGCATATAAAGAATTTGTTATTCCACCCACAAAAAAGAGCTGTCTTCAAACAAGCTGTTAAAACACTGCTTTAAAACATGGTTTCTATAGCTCCTCAAGATGAAACTCCTCAATACCCAATTTTGCCTTTTAAAACGCTGCTTTAAAATGAAGTAATGTTCATTTATTTTGTTAAGAGACACAAGATTCTCCAGTGAGGATAGAGCCAGGCAAGCACATCTTGCGAAGTGGGGTTCTTAAGGATATTTTGGTACATTAATACCCACTAATATTCTTCCGAATAAAAGTGTTTCAATGGTACTTGCATTTTGCTGAACATCAGAGGTGTTAGAGGCAGCTTACTGTAGATGACAGTGTTTGCAGGCCAGCACAACGAAGGTGCAGTACCCTTTCATCCTCTCCCATCTCTTGAGCTAGAAGACATAGTTTTGGGATCAATCCTTCCAGATTGAACATATAGGTAGCATCCTTCTGCACTATCAAGTGATACCACATAAGTTAATTGCATCTTTGCAAGTGTTCACAGTATTAGAGCAACAATAAAAAAAGGCACCTGGTTATTTATAAAGTCAAATAGAGCTTGGCAGCCGACAATCCGCATCTCGTCATGCCTTGTTTGCTCCAGCAAGATATGAATAATACTAAGAAAACTACCTGCAAACAATGGCCTGTGTGCAATACTCCGTACTTAAACCAGGATTCAGCAATGAATAAATTTAATGTAACCATGACATCAGACATAATTTTTGCATCAGAATTTCTCAAACTAAAGAGACCTTTTTACATATAATTCTCAGATATTCCTAAGAAATTCCAAGCCCCAAAGTAGTGAGATATCGAATGTAAAATTTACACTATTTTTTGCCTTACGTTACTACAATTTATTATGAGATGAGGTCATAAATACTTCTTTTCTTGATTGATAATGGCATTATACTTTGATAACTGGATAGCTAAAATAACACGCAGAAAAACGTACATTCATGAATCTGAGTTGCAAAATTTAATATTTCTTGTTCAAGTGAATTGGCATGGGAATACATATATCAGGATAAAAAGTTGAATGTTTTTGAGTTAAAATGAGCATCTTGCAAATCTTGCTAGACTTGACAAAATGGTCAACGATTGACCAAATAAGTTTAGTATTGTCTATCTCAAAAACTAAAGCTTAGTTGAAGCCCCCAGTGCATTTGTTTGAACAATTGAAATGTAATCAATTTTAAATAAAAGAAAAAAGAAAACAAAAAAGTTCGATACTGAAGGTCATTAAAACTACTCCTTTTCTGTAAAATATAATTTTCCCAAATAAAAGCTATGAGATTATCTTCCTGAGTACAGTAACCGATTGTTCGGAAGGCTTAGCATCAAACTTTTCAAATAGGATGCCTTCCTAAAAATAGATCTTTTCGTGTATGATAGATCTCCGACCCCTTGAAGCAAACATTTCATCTTTCCTCAAGAGGAAGGTTCTAAGTTTGCATAATTTTTGTACCATGAAAATGATATGTGAAAAATGAGGTCATCAACAAAATGCAAAAAGATACAAGTCAATCAAGAAGGTGGAAAATTTTATGTTTTACAATACTGTCAAAAGAATAAAAAAGTATAATCATTGCCCATGAAGGGAATAATTTGTGTCCATTTTTCCTCTTAGAAATCAATCTAATGCATAGTATGATTAGACCATAAGTTTCTTGGTGCGGAAGCATTATAAAATTCTTATAATAACAATTGAAATAAGAAATATGTAGGAATAACTTGCTTCATATTGATTGAATAATGATTGATTGTTATAAAAAATGTACAATGCTACTATATTTATAAGCAAAATTATTCCATTCTTCTAATAGTATTAGGAAAGTGAAACTAATGTAAATCCTAATCAAATAAAATATAAAAGTCTTATCACCATTATACAAGAAAACTAATTAGATAAACATAATTGAAAATAAACTCCTAAAAAAGATAAAACATAATTGTAGTAGGAAACTATTAATTGTAGCTGTGATATACTACATCAATCCCCTCCACTTGAAAGAAAACTCGCCCTCGAGTTTGGATGAAGAAAAAGATAATTGATCAATCAAGAGGAAATACTCAAAAATTTCCGTCACAATCACTATTTCTGCAGGGAACAACGAAAAATTCTGACTTTTGGGATTGCTAGTCCCAATTTACACATTCTGAAACCAATTCATTTTTTGCATTAAGGTTCAACCCTGATTCACGAAACTCCATACTGAAGCCTGCACGTGTAGATCTAGTTAGGTTTGGAACCAGCTCGGGAGCATCCCTCTCCACCAGAGCAACGGCTGCTTGATAAATAGCACTAACCCTATTTCCTGGTTTCAACGCAAAAGTTGCCGCCTCGTGGGCCTAAAGAAGAACTTCATAGGCCATGTTCTATGTTGTATTTGCATCAATGAGGTAAGTCTGGCAATGTTGGAGCAGTAGCTTTTATATCTCAATCTAATGGCACAAATGATGGCACTGGCAGAATCATAGCATATATATTCATAGTTGCTTAAAGCACTAGGCCTGAGATCAAAAGTTCCACCACTTTGAAAGATTGGAGGATACTAGATTTCTACATTATCGGCCTTTAGTTTGACACACCTTACGTTTGATTCCTTAATGAAAATTTTAATTCTCTCCTCTCATTGTTGGAAAATTCTAAACTTCAACTAGTTCATCATCAGAGTACGGCTCAATCGTGGGATTTTGAATTATCATTTCACCTGACTGTTTTTCATCCTTATACTTATTCTCATTGTTAATTTCCAGGTATAAGGGATCACTAGGTTTCGGATTTTCAACTTGCACATGCTTTTCTTTTTCTATTGTAGTATCACTGATGATAACATTTGAATTATCTTGAATTACCTCATCATCTACCTTGTGGACCTTTTTCTCTTTGTTTACACTAGTAGTTACAAATTGCTCGTCACATGCCACCAAAACAATCTTCTTATCGTACCATCAAAACATATACTTATTATCTCTACTTATGTAAGTTGCATCTACATTACAGTACAATGGTTGTCCCCAAAGTACATAACAATCGTCCATCTCTACCACATTATATATAATCTCATCTTTATAGTACTTTCTAAGAAAGAGAGAAATTTTGCATACCTCCATATTTTGAATTTCTTGCCCTCTTTTAACATGTGAAGCTTGATAATATTTTTCAGTTTTCAAATTTTAAGCTTTCATTAATGTTTTGGATACCAAGTTCTCATACCTTCGTAGAATCCTTAATAACTTGCGCGTATTCAAACTTAGTTGGGACCCGATGAAACTCTCTAGCCACCTATTGTCGTGTTTTAAGCTTGTTGAAGCAACCAACATTCATAGCAGTCAATGGCGGACCTAAGGGGTCCTATTGGGTCAATTGATCACCCAGTTTTTGCTTTCTTTTTCATTTTTTTTTTAGAATGTCAAAGTTTAAAACCTTCACTATAAATATAAATATATTATGCAACCGGCAGCTCCAAACTCAACTTTGTGCCTTTATCTCTCTCTCAACCTATCGACTACAAACTGTCATTACCATTTACAGTTTATTCACCGTTTGAAAGTTTGATTGTAACCCCCTAACCCTAAGTGTCTGGGTCTACCCCTGATAGCAGTTAAAGTCAACAAATTCTTGTCAGTTTGCTTCCTCATAGGCTCACGATTCCTTTCAAGACAACGCAGTAAGCATCTGCGTGATGTTGTGAAGGGTTTCTTCAATTCCCTTGATTCGTTGTTCGAGTTTGTCAAGCCTTCATATGTCGTCGACGGTTCAACTGACACCAGGACCCTCGTCGACATCAGATTAGGGCAATTTCCTTGCTCTGATACCAATTTTGGGGCGGAAGCGTTATGAAATTCTTATAAGAAGAATTGAAATAAGAAATGTGTAGTAATAACTTGCTTTATTAATGATTGATTGTTATAAAAAGTGTATAATGCTCCTATATTTATAGGCAAAATTTTCCCCTTCTTCTAATAGTATTAGGAAATTGAAATTAATATAAATTATAAACCTAATCAAATAAAATATAAAAGTCCTATAAAAAAAAAAAAAAAACTAAATAGATAAATATAATTGAAAATAAACTCCTAGAAAAGATAAAACATAATTGTAGTAGGAAACTAACAGTTGTAGTTGTGATGTACTACATCATTTCTAATATGTACAAGTATGTCAACCTAGTACCTCCTTGTTAATACTGACAACTGAAAGTCAATTGAGCTTCAAATAGTGAAACTACTACAGCAATCCAGCTAAAAGTTAAGGATAGATGAACTCACATTTGCTGTTTGCAAGATATGAACAACTTTCGGTAGATACACATTATGACTTTTACATACATAAGATTATCAATCCTCAGTTCCCGATAACACCTTTGCTCGAGAGAAGTTGTAATCTGACCAATAAGTTATGAGCTATCATTAAAGTTTTCTACGGATAGCTCAATTGGAAGAAAACTTACAGAAGGTATCAACTGTATAAGGAGCAAAAAAAAGGGCATTTATGTAGCAAAAAAATTTAAATCAAGAACCACTAAAGTACATGAATCTAGAAAGTCTACTGGGTGAAAATATACAAAATTACTTAGAGAAACAACTAATCAATAAACTAGCTATCCAGATTTAAGGGACGTTGACACAAAACAAACACTAATGTGTCCACCCTTCATGTCATTGTCATAATTCATCTCATCCTAACTCGTGCTTCGGACTTGTAAGATTTGAAAATGGATATACAACAGCGAATTTGTCTGATGCTCGGTACATACTATTTGTAAGTAGGTTTATTGTGGAAGAAAGAACTTCAATTATCATGAATATTCAAAGGCTAAAAAAATTATTAGCATAGTATCCACCAATGCAGCCGCAACCATTACACGTGCCACATATCTTAATATTAACAGATCTTCCAGGTAAAGATATTACAACTGATGATCACATGATAATATTTTTTAAAGTAATGAAAAATAGAATTGAAGTGTTATCAACTTATTACACTTTTATAATGGAGGATGGTTTGATTTTCATGGTCAAAAGAAAGGTTTTTCGATGATGCAACTTCTTATAACCTAATTTGGCTTTCAAAAAGATAATGGCAATAAAATTCACATCAAATTCTGAAAATCTAAAATGTTAGACATTAAAAATATGCTTACATAAAAAACCATCCATTTGACTGGGAATGCCAAATGAGCCACTATGTTCTAAATGGAACGAACATGGTTCCTATACTACGTACCGTCACTAAATGAATGCCCTATCTAATATGTAATAAACAACAAAAAATGTTTTCAGTAAATAAAGACAATTGGCAATAATATTCAGAGAGGAAATATTAAGGGCAAAATTCGCGCAATGAACAGATAATATGGTGGATCACTAGGCCATAGAGATTATAAGTTGGGTATTACTTTACCCTTGTGATCCAATAATTGCTTGTCTCACATATTCAAACAAGCTCGTATCTTCCACTTTCTTTTTCATCCATCCTATATCATTCCCAATGTTTCAGATTTTCTTGGTCACTTCATTTCTAAAACTTAATAAGTCTTTGTACTTGGATTTTTTCTACCACTTAGTTCCAAGAAAACAATAAGAACAGAGAACGAATATTTTGAATAAACCAATTGTTCACCAAATTTTTTATCGCTACATAAAATAGGAAAAAAAATGGCAGATATAAAATATTATGTGCATAAAAATAATACTGCACAATGTTGTAAAAATAATTGGAAACAAAAAAGATGCTCAGATATAAGGATAACTGAGAAACCTAACCTTGGGAATGCGTAGTGGATTTTTTGAAGCATATTCACACAATTTGCTGATTTTTCTGTCATTAGGTTCTTCACCCTGTCAAAAGTACAATATTATATCAGTAATCAAAAAGATATGAAGAACTCTTTAAATACATTAAAAGAGATTATGCAGTAGCAAAGATAACAGGATTCCAGAGGGAAGGGTTAAATGTATAAAGGTCAGGTCAAACTTTTGTGAATGGTCTCCACTTAGATGGAGAAATCGGAATAAAGCAACTGTTTCATAACTAACAATGAAAATGAATCAATTAGAGAAACAAAGCACCAATATGGTTTACATGATGGAACTCCATTTTAATACTCTCTCCGTCCCATTTATATAGGCTGATTTTGTTTTTTACATGGATTAAGAAATCTTATTTAAGTTATTGAAAAAGCAATTTTTGCCGAAAACTTTCCTAGTCTACCCTTATTTATATTTGTAAAATTTCAAGAATATGTGGGGAAAATTGGTTATAAGTAGGCAAATTAAATAAGGTAATATCAATAAACGAACAAAACAAAATATTCTCATTAAAGAAACAGGACTATATAATTGGGATGAGAAAATAACGAAAGCCAGCCAATATAAATGGGATGGAGGGAGTAACTAATAAATATTAAAGACATGAGAAAGTAAAACTCCTCGACTCTTTAACCACCTAAATTAAGATGCCTATTAACTAGAAAGCACAACTATGAGTCTTATCCAACTGATCGTAACTAAATTCTCATTAAGCAGCAAATGTAGGACTTGAGTTCGTATATGCACCAAATGATAGAAAGATTTTTTTCGATGAACATAGGGAGTCATAGAAACAATGAACCTTGGGGCTTTCAAAAGTGATGCGTGACGGCTTTTAAAAGATCAATTTGAGTCGGTTTTAACTCAAATGAAGGTCGATAGATTAAGGAAGAAGATTAAGATTAATCATGATTAGATATGATGCCATCCAGAAGCTGTGAACAAGCCCATTTTCCTCCCGAGCACTATTTCTTAAAACTCAAATTTGAGTCCCATTCTTTAAAAAAAAAAAATACATTTTTAAATAGTATTTTGACATCATTTCAACCTCACATTCTTCAATAAAATAATATTATACGCAAATTTAAAAATTTTCCTTATTTTTTAACAACACATTTTTAATTAATACACTGTTCAAAAATTCATTCTTATGAAAAGAATAAGACTCGAACAAAGGCTTAATCTCAAACTTTTCCCTGACATTAAGTCCTTATCTTAGTGAAACTCACCACACTAGCAATCCACTTGAAGCTCCGAACCATGAGATTCTCTCTGTCAGATTTATACTAACTTCTGGCAGGCATTGCCGCATTGGTATTAGCGAGTTACAAACAGAAATTAAGATCTTCAAACAAGATGTGGGCCCAATGAATCATAATATCAAGGAGCAATTTTTTCTATTGAATCCTTATTCCCATCTTTAAGAGAGATAATTGCATATTTGAGGAGTTCTACTAGGGCTTTGATTGCTCAACTAGGGAAAGTATTGGGTTGCAAAAATACGAAGCTACCTTGTTTGAGCCCCATTTTAGGGAAGAGAATGAATTTTTGAATAGTGTATTGACGGAAAATATGTGGTTAAAAAATATGGAAGAGTTTTGAATTTGCGTGTAATATTATTTTATTCAAGAATTTGTGGTTGAAGCGAGGTAAAAATATTGTAGAAAAATACATTTTTTCAAAAGAATTGGGCTCAAACAAAGCTTCTCCACTCAAGATGAAAAACTGAAGCGGTTAACCAATTCATCTCTGATTCACAAGTTTAAATCCACATTCAACAATAAATCACAATAATAATAATAACAATAATAATAATAATAATAATAATAATAATAATAATAATAATAATAATAATAATAATATTCGTGTAAATCAAACTAACCGGAGCCCGAGGAAAGATATCTGCTAACAACTTCTTGTAGCGCTTCACGGGATGCCGTGACCTCGGCCGCATTGCCGGACAACAGATGCAAAGGGTATCGATAGCGGGCATCATCACTGGTTTCACCACCACATCCATTTTTTTTCAAATCCGTCAGAAAAACGAATACTCTCCTCTTAAGAAATCCCAAAAGACTCTTCCCGACCAAGAGAGAATGAAATTCTAATTATGAGTTCTCCAAAATGATTAATAAATAAATAATCGAATGTCAAAATGGGTTGAAAATTGACATAGATGTGATAAGATGAATTCAGATTTCGACTATTCGATTTGGGAAGAACACTGGGGGAACGGGAAGAGAGAAAGGTCAGAGGATTTTCGATAACCTCCGACTTCCTCCAACGGCGAAGAGAGAGGCGGGGTTGTGTGGTGGGATTGTGATTTGTTGCTTAGTTCATAACCTTTGCATGGGTAACACGTACAAATGTGTGTTTTAGTGTTTATGTTGCGTTTGTACGTGAATTTCAACGTTAATTATCCACTACTTTTTTGGCCTTTATCAATGCTTTTTTATTGGTGAGATTTACATCAACTCGTAGTAGAAACGTTAATTAATAGACGTTATGAGCACATTTTAGCTAGTTTAATATCGTATACGAAACATAATCTATAAATTTAAATCGAATGAAGTTGTTGCACATCGAAATGACTAAACGAAATTTAAAGAAAATTAACACCATGCATGAAAACGAGCCACAAATAAATGTTAAAGTTGGTTGCCAAGCCTACCAACCCAAGAAAGTCTCTTTATAATCGAAAAGACCTACAAATTGAACCAATGCCTTAATGTCATGTTAAATCTGAAACTATGTCATTCACTTCAAGAATCACCATACGTTAAGCATTCTTGGCAATCCACATCCAAATTTATATTTGCTCATCTCAAAATTGTGAAAGTGCTAAGTGTACAACAATGCAATAACGTGTTCAGTCTAAACTTTACAATTAGATTTCTTAAGGTCTTAAAATTTTTATCGAAAACCTATTTCAAAAATCAAATTTAAAAAAAAAAATGTACAAATTCAACTTCTAAACAGAGAAATTGAAGAGCCACGGCACCAATATCATACGTACATATTCTTATCCTGGTTCTTTTTAAGATTTTCGCAAATTGAAAAATAAAACAAATCGTGTCCATAAAAATTGCAATGCGGGAACTTTTGGGACGACAGACTGGTTGGTTCGTGGTGGTGAGCTCATGAAAGTAGAGCTCGTGGGGGGCGGGGAAGGAGTTTGGCGGCTTACGAGAAGAAAATATTTTTTTCCCTTTCAATTTTTTTTTTTTCATTTTTTATTAAAAATTACTTGATAAGGACTGAGTGAATTAACAATTTATCGTCCGCAGAGGATGCACGTACTTAATGAAACAAATGGATGATAGGTTACTGAAAGGACATTTCGCATAAGAATAGATTGATGCGAGGATACAAATGATAGAAGTTTTAGTGACAATTATAGAGGGACAATCGACAAGGACGTCTGTGTACCAATTACCCCCATTTGAAAATAAGGGATTTGGTACTATCTATGTGCTATGAAGGATGAACTCTCGAGGCGACCGCAATACATATAAATCTCATTCTCGGTCCTAAACCACAAGAGATGGAATCACCAACTTGGACTTAGTTAACCACTAACCACAAGAGGGATCTAAGAAAAACGTTACATAATTGACATGAAAGTATTTGCATTTGTGCAAGCGTTATCTAGAATGATTGGACATAAAGCATCAATACGTGCTTTATAAGTCCACTATCAAATCTAACATTGGCATGTTGCGTGTAACCTTATTTACCACTGTTTACTTCCCATCATTGACCAATAGATCACAGAATAATGTTACATAATTGACATGAAAGAATTGACGGACAAGGATGCAAGCTTATCCAGAATGATTTGACATAAAGCATCCATATATGCTTTTAAGTCCACCGTCAAAACCCAAGGCTTAAACCTTGGACAGGTTGTGGAAATTAGCAAGTTGGAGTACAGGAGGGACGGAGGAGATTTCCGGTGAGAAGCAAAACGAGTAGAGAAGTGAAATGCATTGACAAGTGAAGCACACAGTAAAGGTGTTGATACTATGTCCATGACTGGATGATTTAAAGAGTTGGGGAAATGAGAGTGCACGGATGTAATACAGTTCATACATAGCTGAATGGGGATGATATTCTAAAATGTTTTTTGGTACGTTCTTGCACTTTTACTCGATCAATAGCATGTATCAGGATGTAGATGGGGTGGGTACAGGTAATCAGACCATTCATTAAATGCTGAAATGAGACTTTCCTGCAAAGTTAGATTATAGATATCAGAATCAAGCTTCACCAACAGTGTTCGATAGCTTTCAGGATCCAGCCAGCACTACAATTTTTGGTCACGATATAATATTCCCGAAGGATTCCACAAAATCTAAAGTAAATCACAATTCTGGTTACTAAGTTCACATGAAAACTACATTACAGAAGACACCATACGGCGAACCATTTATAATGAAATGCCCTGCAGCTCTAATACTCCCTTCACTGCCTCGCAGAGTGCCTAGACAACTCAGCCTACAAGACAATGGAAGATAAAAGATAGATATCACAAGAACGAAGGGTGGCTCAATAATCTACCATTTTAATAACTATTCTCTCATAAACTGTAGTCCCACATCAATGGGACCCTGGCCAAGGCCCCTTAAATGGACGCTAGGATACAATCTTGGCTAGCTTTATTTGAGAATCTATAATGGATTAATTCGCCTTCAATTGAACTCTCTTCATCGTTTTCAAATGTTTGTCATAAAAACTACAGTTACGCTAAATTCTAAAATTAGCAGAGAAGTTTTCATGATTAAACAATTATACAGAGAGCCTTTTGAATCTGAAAAGTTCCTGATAAATAGAGTGCTGTAAAAGAAGGTTCTAAGCAGAAGCCTAGTTTGAAATTTAGCCCGTATTTTTATACCTTTCAGTGCTTTCACCCGACCCATTCGAAGAAATCAATATCCAAAGACTAGTCAAAAGTCTATATGTGACTGCAGATTTGAGTCAGAGGCTGAACTTTTAACCCACAAATACCAAGTTGTAATTATCAAAACGAAGTTGTTAATAAAATTAAACAGGGACCTCTATTCAAACTTGATTGTATGTCATATAGGACCTTTTCTATTTGAAAGTTGTTAAAGTAAGCTTCACATTTTTTTTCCTAATGCCTGCAGTAACTTTTGAGCCTAGTGGAAGGTAGATGTTCAACTAGAGAACAGGATCAGAATAAGCTGCCTACGGGCACTGCACTAATAACAAAAACAAGAGTTAACAGCCTTCAAAAGACATGGTTTAACAGGAATCAGGAAAATGAAATATTACCTCAAATGCATTCTTCAGATGATCAAGCTCCTTATCCAGATCATTGATAGCCTGATTGTACGCTTGCATTGGTGATGATTGGCTCGTAGTGTGAATCTGCAGATTGGCCATCGAAAAGTTAAAACCCAAAGGGCATGAAATACTCTGACCAAATTGACCAAATAAGTAATAACCATAAATACGATGACAAATCAGAAAGTAACAATCTTGAAGTTGGGATTATATCAGATTTTTTTATAAAGTGCGAGCATTCTCACTAAGAAAATGAGAAAGCAAATAAATGCTATGAATTCATGAAAGGAACAAAGAAATTGTTGTGTGAATTTTCAATCATCTTTTGTGGAAGTTACAGTGATCATGATGATATAGATGTGTACACACATACACAGGAAATGAATACTCAACGCACTGAGTTGCAAGTTACGGAAAAAGGGTTCAGCGTCAACCTATAGCTTTAACAATATCTAACACGCATCACATTACAAATAATCTTAGAAACTAGTCTATTTTTGTGGGGGTGTAGCAAAAGGTAAAGAAACACCATGAAATTAAATCTTCCAACAAACTCCCGCAAATCTTAGAATCCAAAATCTAGTACCCACACCTCCTCCTCTGAATACAAAAAATAATGCAGCTCGTAAAATAATTAAGAATAAATAAATAACAATTAAATACAAACCCTAACGATGATTTTGTATTTAAGGGGATGAGGCAACTTGTAGCCAGCAAAGAGCACATTTTCATCCCTGTGCAATTGCCTGAGTCATATTTTTATCAATTAAAAAAAAAAATTAGCATTTTAACAATGGGGTTTTAAAAAAAGCTCAGAAGAAAAATAAATATTTACATGCGGAGAATGTTGCCGATAGTATGGTCCTCACGCTCGATGGTAAAGGACGCCGCATTGATGATCTTGGTGTCTCTCTCGTAGGACACCCTTTTTCATTATATACATATCCGAGGCAGAAATAGCATTAGCAAGCAAACGTATATACACAAAACAGTGATTATATGTGTATATACACATACAGATACATATAATTTGCAGACGAAGGAGAGTGTGTACTTGGCGACGCCCTCGGGGACGACGAATCGCTCGTAGCGGTCAGGGGCATTCATGGTACTAGGCGAACACTCTTCAGTGGCACGTCTGGGAGTAAGAAAATCTCTCTCCTTGGTTAATGAAGCGACGTCGGTGAGTTTGTTCTGCCTACCCTTTTTACCTTCAATTCAATGTTTGAGTCGTGTAGGGGGTAAGCGGTCCTTGACAAATTTTCAGATCAAGGGCGTGTTTGGGCTCGATTTTTTCATCCAAAAAATTAATTTTTTGATCGTTATTTTACTATTTTAACCGTCATATTTGACTTCTTCTCTCATGAGTGGACCCTACTTTTCTTCTAACAGTCAAAAAATTAATTCTCAAAATCTTTTAAATTCATTTGAGAAAAATTCAAACCAAAATCAAATCATTTTGAACAGCTAGAAAAAAAACTCAAATCTAAATCTAATGATTTGATCCGATTTTAAACCGTTGATTTCGTCATTTTTTTTTTTTTTGCGTATCTACTTTTATGTCATTAATTCATTGAATTCAATATATATTTATATATTACTAGCAATAAATCTAAAACAAACGAGCCTCTGTTTGAACCAAATTTTTCGGACAAAAAATTGAAAATTTGGATTGTTATCCCACAAGTCTAGCTACCTTGTTGACTTGCTGCTTCATGTGTGAGACCTAACCTCCTCTCCGATGGTCAATTTTCTCATTATGATGATATGGAAAATATGGTTCAAACAGGGGCTAAATATACATACTATAAATTTAAATATCAACTAAATTAAAGTGAAATCACAATAAGCTAAAATGTAATTTGTTTTTCATTTTTGTTCATTTTTTTAGGCTAATGACGATATAATAACGTTACAATACAAGTCTACTAAACTATATATAAGGCCCAAAAAACATAATGATATCCAACAAGATCTCCTGTCATCATATCTGAAAAAAGGATACTGATTAGATAAAGAGAATAACCAACCACAATAATATCTAAATATAACAATTACACAGGTTTACGTTTGTATGATGTTACGACACACATTGAATTTCAGGTTCTTATCTTAGTTTGCTCCAAAAAAAATTATTAATCTGATACTTTATTCGTAGCAAATATTATCATCAAAGGTCTAGGATCTCTTTGTCTGCGATTTGATATAATGGATTTCAATTCAACTTTGAAGAGGCGTGAAAAATCTGAAAAAGAAGTGTGTGTGCCGGTGGCTCAAGACTGTATTTGGTGTCAACTGGAGTTCATCCAAATTCTGAAGAAGAAAATGGCTTTTGATAGACTATATTAGTCTTGAGATTATTAGATATAAATTAGGATTATTGAATAATAATAATAATAATAATAATAATATATCTGTATTAGAAAATTAGAAATTAACAAAAATACCTACAAATGACAAAACTATTGAATTTTACATATTTAGATGAATTTTCAAAAAATTTCATTTTTTCATTTTTTCATTTTTATTTATTTTTTCGCCTATCCTACTTGATTTTAAACCGCAATTAAAATTCTCAAACCTAAATCAAACCATTTTGACAGGTTTGGCTTGGTTCAAAACCATTTCGTTGACCGGGTCCATGTGGCATTAAATCGACGATTTCTAAAATGCGATTTCGGTTCGATTTTTCGACTTGGCAATTTTTGCTTATAGCCCTAGCCATGTTCTTTAAATTATTATTTTTAATCTTTTTAAATTATATGTTAATTTTGATAAAATAAATTTGGATGTAATTTTAAAATTTTCATTACTCTTCAACTATACATTTATTATAAAAAATAAAAAAACTTTTACAAAATCTAATCTCAAATTTTTTATTCAAATAGGAACAAAATGAGAAAAATCATGCTACGTGTACAATTTTTTTTACAATTCACACTTGTTAACATCACAATCATTCATTTCAAGAACTGTTATTAAAAGTAATGGTTCGAATTTAGATAACGCCAATATTGTCGATCATTATCGTCAATAAAGATCGTACATATAGGTTAATGAGCCACGCTACACATACAGATGTATGGTTCACATGGTCGATACAAACGAGACATCGGAGGTGGGATGAATGGTTCATTTTCGGGAGGGGGGATGAATGGTTCAGGGGGGGGGGGGGGGGGGGAATAAAAATAAAATCACATGGGGCCCCATGTGAGGGTCGGTGCAGACCCTATGAAGGCTCTAGATTAATTCAAGTGAGAAAAAGGATGCATGCTTTGATGGGGCAAATAGAATGTGTGATGTTTGTGATATTATCTAACTTCTAATAAAAAGAGGAACGAGATGTTACTATGGATGGAACAGTAAATTAATCCGAAAATACTATACAAGAGAAAAAAATGGCGTCATTTTTTGTACCTTTTTTTATTGTTTTCGGCTAATACCATACCGTTTCCATTTTTTCACTCCCACGACCATTCCTCTGCTCTTCTTCTAACTTGATGGAGGCAAAAGAAAACCATCGAGAAAATCAAACAACGATTACACCACATTTTCTTCATCCTTCTGCTATTTGGGTTAGCACTCTTGCTGCGATTTACTGCTTCCAGAAGCATCGGTTGAATTATTGTTTGCTAGGATTGTTCACTACTTTTGTTGCTTTTATGATGGCTTGACTTGTGCATTTACCAGTGGTAAATTATGTTTTCCATTCATTTATTTATTTCATGTCCTTTTTTATAAAAAATTGCTAATTGAAATAGAGGTTTTGGATATAATCTTATTATTGTAGTTATAAATTGTTAATTGGAGTATGAGTTGCAAAGAAATTCAGAAAGCCTTCTATTACTACAAATGAACTTTAAGTTGTGGTTTTATGACAAAATTTCATGTTGTCATCTCTTAGTGTCTTAAATGGGTTGTGGGAGAGAAGAAAGATCAATGGCTTAAAAAGGTAGGAAAAAATAGATACTACGTAAACAAATAAAGAAAAGTAGGAAAAGCAGAGAGGAAAAAAAGAGAAAAAAATTACTAATAAAAAAAAGAAAATCTCTCCGCTCAATGCTGAGAGATTAATTGATCTCTCCGCACTGCGTGAAGAAATCAACTCTCTCCGCACTGTGCAGAGAGTTTTGCCATGGTGCGGAGAGTTTGCAGTTTGCCAACTCTCCGTTTTAGCTTTTGATCTCACTTTTGGTAAACAATATGTTATAATAATATGTTATAGTTAAGATTTAGTCGTCATTGAAAAAAAAAACTCTCGAAACTGTTCGGAGAGACCTCCGCATTGTTCGGAGAGATCAATTGATCTCTCCCAACTGTGCGGAGATATTTTTTTATTTTTTTTAATTGATATCATTACTTAATAAGTGCATTTCCATTTTTTTTATATATATAATTATGTTTAATTTATTTATATAAAATGCTTTAAAAATAATAATTATTAATAATTATTAAGCTAATAAAAAATATACTAAAAAAGTATACAAATCAAATTTCTCAAAAAATCAATAACAAAAAAGTAAACAAAAAGCGTTTACCTATTTTTAATTTCGTCTAATTTACTGCTTTAATAATTTAACTGAAAAAAATTACACGTGCTGTGTGGAGTCTCCGCACAATTTGTGTAGAGACTCCGCACAAATTTGAGAGAACTTTCTTTTTTTTCCTGGATCATGCAACTAATATTTGTTTACTTTGTTATTTTATTAGTTAAAAACATGCATTAAATCTAATAAAAAATATAATTACAAGAATAAGTTTAAAAAAAAAAAAAAACTCTCCCTCATATGTGCGGAGACTCCACACAAGTCGAGAGTAATGTGCGGACACTCCACACTCCGCCCGGACAATGAGTGCGGACACTCCGCACTGATTGTGCGGACGGAGTGCGGAGTGTGCGGAGACTCCGCACAATCTGTGCGAATTGTGCGGAGTGTCCACACTCCGTCCACACAATCAGTGTGGAGTGTCTGCACTCCATCCGCACATTGTGCGGACACTCTGCACTGATTGTACGGAGTGTTCACACTGATTGTGAAGCAATAATATATGTATTTTGATCATAATTTGGATTTTGATTGATTAAAGCATCATTACTATTTTTGTTATCTCTTCAGATTCAAGGTTTATGCAACAAGAACTTCCAGCATGCAAGCCTATTTTAACACCTAAATGGGTAAATATTATAAAATGTCTCTACACATTACTGGTGTCTTATTGTAATTCACCACATTATGGGGATTTATTTTACCTATGGATTTACTTCCTCTCATAAACTATGTTCTGTGCAGGTGATTTCAGCTTTCTTATTTGTTAGCATCGTCTTTATTCCCATTGGCCTTGTCTCGCTATTTGATTCCCAGGATGTATGCTCAGTATTTCCTAACCTATCGTTCTTTTGCTTTTTGTGCTTCCCTCACTAAAGTGGCTTCTTTTCATCAGGTTGTTGAGATTATCGATCGATATGAGACTGATTGCATTCCTTTAGATTCAAGAAATGATAGGTTGGATTTATTCAAAGCCCTCAAGATAAAACCTGCCACATAAATCTAATGGTGAGTTTCAATTCGATGGTATTTGAGTTTTACCATGTCAATTGCATTTTAAATTTAAGTATAATTATAAAATCTAAAATTTGATAACTATTGATTAATCATCAAGTTACAAAATGCATGAAACGGCCCATTTATGTATATGATACAGCTTGACAATTTCTACCAGAATCATCGGAGGTACTTTTAATGTTTCTATATTCTGACATTAATTTTGGTAAATTAAATATTTAACTGTTTCTTTGATGCAATATTTTGGATTTCTACCTCCGTGGATGAGTGTTAGTGATTCCTTGTTTTTATCATAGATACAGAACTCTTCTATAAGAGAAATGACTCCACCGAAATTTTTATTTTATTCTCTCTTCTGGTATCTTGTAATAGTTGTATATTTGAAATCTTTTGCACATTGTTAGGAATTCTTCATGAACATATTAATTTATTATTCCTTTTTATTTTCAAACTATGTGGCTGATATCTACGCCCTTCTAAGATATGTGAAGGGCCGAAGTGATCAGCAACTGAGAAATCCAGGAGATGAAGGTGACACAAGTGCTTGTGAGCCCGAAGACACTGCCCACGGGATGCCAATTGTGCCTTGTGGTCTTATAGCCTGGATCCTGTTTAATGATACTTACGACTTCACTGCAACAACCAGCCGGTGACCATA